AGACTAAGTTACTGAAATTCTGAGTTATCTCAGTTAAATAAGTCTTCAAAATTTTTTTTATTAGAAGAAAGTTGGACAATACTGATTAAAAAAAAAAGTTTTGAGTCTCCTGAGAGTATTTCCAGAGATGCATAGAGTTGGTATCCTATGAGGGATTTGAATAATATAACAATCACACTTCTTAATATAACATAAACCCAATCCTCCCAGAACTGTTTTAACACATTTTGAAAGATCTTTATTAGACACTGGGAGCTAAAGATAGATCACATATGAGATTCCCTAGTTCTTGGCTCACATTTTTATATGTCTCCATTTTTAACAAATTGTTTCATGACTAACTAAAGATACAGAAGAGATGCCAGAAGAATCCCCTGGATCTAGGTCACTGAGTGGGAAGGGGTTTCTGGGGAGTTTGTGGGATACTTTCTGGGCATTGCTGTGGAGTTAGGGAAGAAGCCAGTAACTTGGAATTACTGCCTTTGCAGATGCTTAAGGAAATGTCTCCTACCAAGAACATAATCAGAACCCCTACCTACTAAAGCGGTTCGAAGTAGCATGGTAAAAAATTATGCAAATTACTTAAATTATTTATTTATTATAAATATCTAAAAGATTCTGATAAACTTTAGATGAGTCTTAATGATGCTTAATTCTTTCTAAATTAAACAAAACTATGCACAAGCTTTCTAAGAAACTCTCTTGCTGTTTTGCTGTGTCAGCATTTGACCATAGCACGGTGGTAGCCAGACAAGAACACCCAGCTTTGCTCCCAGGCATCAATGCCAGCCTGGGATGCTGAGCCTGCTACGAAAGCAGCTGGGACTGGGCAGAGGCAGACACTCCCCTGCCAGATTTCCACATTACACTTGTTGGGTAAGGCTTCCATTCTGGTTATATTTTCAACTGCAGTTGGGGTTTACATGTTTATTTCAAGGGTTTAAAAAGTGCTGAACAGCCGCTGGCTTTTCTAGAGGGATGACTGTATTGAAACTCAAAGGGAGAAAATTAGAAAGCCAAATGACAATTGTTTTGAAATGAGCTAGATTATGGGAAAACAGAGATTTCTATTACTGCGATCTCCAGGAGAAAGGTTTTTCTATTGGGAAATTAAAGAGTCTCAAATATGCTACTTTATTTGTACAAGTTAAACATTAAAAAAAAAAGGGATTCAACTTTAAAATTTTAACAGTATTAAAATAGCATTTTGGTAGAAAATGTGAACAGTTCATAGCAATTTGCATCACTTGTGCAAAGGAGGATCTACATTTATAACTTGTTATTTTAGGAAAAAAATTAAAAGATGGGAAAAGAATGTATCATTCTTAATAAAAATGATCATTATGTAAAACAACTTGCAAGCTCTTCAAATACTATTTTTCCATAAAATTTTATAACATCCCCCTTTTATGTGTATGCATCATGTCCTGTCTATACCAATCCCAGACTAAAGGTAACATTATCATTACTTTACAGGCAGCAAAACTGTCTGAGAGAAGTTAGCTCATTTCAGTTTGCCCAGGATCCCACATTCAGTTGAGAGCAGAACTGTGCTCTTAATCACTATGCTATTTCATGGAATAATTTGAGCATATTCATTAAATTTGTCACTTGACAATACACCCACACACAATTTATTTCCTATTATATTATTCCCTAAGACAGTATGCTCCTGAGTATATTACCTGAATGTTAATTATTCTTTGTGCTGATGGAACAGTAATCTCGTATTTTATTATCATCAGCACAATTTGCACATATAGGATGCTTTTCTTTTACATGGCAATGAAAAAAACAATGATTTACCTACAGGCATTCCAGCACATCTAATGATCTGTCTGAAATCTCAGCTGTGGATTTTATGACACAAGATCTGAAGGAGCTATGCAAAGTTTCCTTTCCTGCTGAGAAGCAAATGAGTGCACCACAGCAGGTCTGACCCCAAACAGGCAGATTTGTAAAGTCACCACTTAACTTCTTGGGAGAAAAACCTTCCCCAGACAGCAGTGAGGGAATGCCTGGCAGTCTGCATGCAGCTGGACAAATCAGTGTTAATCCATTCAGCCACTGTGTGCCTGTGATCTTCCACACCAAACTGTCACTTGAATTGCTAGAGACATTTCTAATCACTTTACTTTTAAAATGTCAGATAAGATCAATTACTATGAAATTTAAAATTGATACACAATTTTTTTAAAGATGGCAGTCTTTAATTAAAAATTCCTCAGTGACTAATTTCTTTAATGTTTTTGGAGTACTTATTATGTGCTAGGCAATCTGCTGGGCATCTAGAGAAAATGGTTAACCAACAGACACGGGCCCTGCTTCCAGTGCAGATGAGTATTTCCTGAGACTGCCCACTATGTCTTGCAGACACGGGTAGTGCGAGTACCTCTGAAGTGTTTATTACTTTTGAGTTACTACCTTGGCACCTTTAAAATGAAAATAAATGCCACTCTCAATAATACATGATGCAGTACACTGAATATTTCTGGTATTTCACTTTTGTTTTTCTTGAGATTATATATCACTTGACACTTAAAACACTTAAAGAACATGTTTATCCAAGAGTTGGAGAAAAATGACAAAACAGAGGAAAACACAGAAGTAATGCTAGCACCCTCTACATAAGGGAAAACCTGAGTCCAGACACAAAGGACCATGGGTGAAATCAAGCCTGGCTTGTCAGCAGAGGTCCTACCACTGATTTTCTTCAAGTGTCAGAAAAACTGTCCCACATGGAACCTCTGGTGCTGACAAAGGCCCAGTCATCTGCAGGGTCTGTGGGCCTGCTGCCACTAAGGGCTGTCCAGCACCGAGACAAACTGCAGCCCGGTTCTGGAGCCACCCTTCATGGCTCTCTGTGGTCCGTCTCCAGGGACCCCATGGGTAAGCCTCCTTCAGTTCTTCTCCGCCACATCTGCTGGCATTGGTGCCCCCGTTTCCTCTCACCTAACTCTTACTCTGCTCCTCTTATCTGCTCCCCAGGCCTCTCTTCCCTTCCAAATGTGTCGGTGTGCAATGGCTTCTATACATCACACCTCTTTTAAGAGGCTGATGAAGTTGCTCCCCTTGCCTGGAAAGGTGAATTTTCAGACCTGGCCCAGCTTTCCACATTTGACCTGACACTACCTTCTCAGTTTTGACTTCTCCTGTCATTTCTTTCTAGGTACCTCATAAACTGTGCCACCATTACAAAAGAATTAGGTAGCTTCACAACTACTGCTACAGAACAATTGCTAAGATAGATTAAGTTAGAAAAGCATAGTATAAAGCAGTGTGGACAGTATGCTATAATTTGTGTTGAACACAGAAGACGTGTGTGTGGACATACACACATATCCCTTAGGTATGGCAGAATATCACTGGATGAATCAGCAAGAAACTGCAATTAGTAGCTGTCACTAGGCAGGCAGACTTGATAGGTTGAGCATAAGGACCAGAGATTCATTTTTTAACATCTGTACTGTCCCCTTTTTGTAACTTGAATTTTACATTATGTGGCTATATTTATTCAAACAAATATACTTGAAAATATTATCAACATTCAAGTGCAATGCTCCTCTTTCACGCCCCACTGTACCTTGAATGCGCTTGCGATGCCCTTGTGTTGAGTACCTCTCCCTTATTCAATTACTCACCTCTAGCTAAACGCCATTTACTTTGTAAGTAAGTCCCTAAACTTCACAACATTTTCATAGCAAGCTATCCACTATATTTACGTAATGGTTACTTGTATGCATTTTACTTCTCTTATTATTTATAATAAGCTTTCGGAGGACTGGGCTGTCTTGGTGATACTGTCACAACATAGTAACTTGGACATAATAAACTAAAAATTAATACATATGAGGGGGTAGGAAGGAGCTAACTGTAAGCCATAGGGGGCCAACTCATGGGGCTACTGTTTCTGGCATGTTCTCAGCGTCTGGCAGAGGGCCTATCGAATGAATAAATAAAAGGCAAGTCTTCCAACCGCAGGAGGACTTCTTTGGGTTTGTTTTTAGGATTAAAGCTTGGTTCACAAAATGTACTCCTTCAATAATTAAAGGTGCAAACCACCTTCAGGGTTGCAAAGTCACATATTCTTCTTCAGGTTAGAAACTGCTTACAGATTTCACAAGAAGGAGAAAAGTGCCAGAAAGACTGTTTTGAGGATCAATAATGAAGAGATCATCACTCCTTAAAACTTAAAAACTGGAAGTTGAATACTTCTTACACATAATTTCTGTTTTATACTTGAATTCTGAACATTTGCCTTTTCACCATTCCAGCTACGTACTTGGCCTCTCGCTTCACCAACATCCCTAATTATCAGGTTTTCTCTGCTCTGCTCTTTGCGTCACAATGACTATTTCAAGCAGTTGTATAATCACTTCTCCTGTTCTGTCTTCCACCTTATTAACAGGTTACTTGACCTACTTTTTTGTTCTATTAATTTCTATTTTATACTGTACACCTAACAAATCCTCCCCCTGTTCCCAAATACAATTTCATGTGACCATAGCCAAGAAAAAAGACATCCTAGGAACTTATATTTCAGCCCAGAAGTTAGGACATTTAAAAAAATAAACAACTTTCCTGTTAGGAAGGGTTGTTTAGTGTTGTTCAATAGCTTTCATAAATTTTTTAAAAGAAGCAAAATATTTATTAACACTGGAAGCTAAAGGAGATATTAAGTGCTTAATACACAAAATGCCCAGATAGATACAAATAAGTTGCATTCCTTAGTAACTTCCCACATAATGCTTTTGTAAAGCAGTTTTGTCTCACATTAAGCAAATCATTCAGCATTTCTTTCAGCTGTTGCAGACACAAAGTTGGAATCTATTTACACCAATATGGTTCAAAACACTGTACATCATGTCACAGAACAATGGTGACATGGTATGTTTTAACCTCAGAAAGATAAAATAGTTCCACAGCTATCTGAAAATAAAATGAAATACTACATGATGATTAAGTTATTAAAGGATAAAAAAATACGTAATTTTACTTACATCAAGAGAGCCTTCATTTATAACAATCATTCCCATGTTCTTCCTTAAAAGCTTGCAGGAGTGTCCTATGTCCAAACAGAGAGTACATTAATCGATATAACTAATTTTCCTGGAGAGAAGAAGTAAAGATATTAGTGATAATGCTACAAAAACACATTATTTTTTTTTATTTTTAGAAATTTTATTTAGTAGTAAAATGTTATCTATTTGGTTAGAAATGGTGGCAGGCAGCTGTTTTCCAGCGTTGCAGGAAGTTAGGTGCTCTTGCTTATTATAGGAGAGGTACAAGGAGAGCAGCTACCGTGTTACGGGAGTCTTGATAAGCAAGCAGGGAAAGACAAGGTGGTAATGATTCTCAGTATCCTGGAAGCTGACAAAATTATCCATAATGACCAACATGAAGGGCAGAAGATGGGCTGATGGTGGTTTCTGGAGAAGGATGCAGGAGGGCCATTCGGCCACCCCCTGGGCCATTGATCCCACCACTATCTCCCTGCCCTTTGGCTGCCAACCTGTCCTCCACTTACCTGCTCTCTCCTGCTTTGCTATATTGGCTGCTGGGCAAAACCACCGGCTGGTTAAACCCACTCCGACTACTCTGAACCTGCTCGCATGCAGCTGAATGTGGCTGCTGACCAGTCTCACATTTAAAATAGTGCCACCACATTTAAAACATCATCACTTGGACTCACTCCTTTGTGAGCTCATTTGATCCAATGGTTTTAAATACCATCTAAACACTGACCATTCTAGAACTCCTGTCTCCCACTCAGACCTCTTTCGTGAACTCTGATCTCTTACAAGCTGGTGCCTACTTAACAGCAGACACTTAGGTAGTAAATAGGTGCCTCAAACTTAACATATCCAAAACCAGATTCCCAATTTCCCCCCAGAAATCCTGCTCCTCCTTCCTCTTCCTCATTTTGGTTAATGGCAACTCCATTCTTCACTTGCTATGACTAAAAATCCTTGGCATTACCCCGATTCCTTTCTTATACTCCCAGCTTACAGTTTATTGATCAGTCCTGTAGCTTGCCTTTAAAATATATCCAGAACCCCACCATTTCTCACCACCTCTGCTGTTAGCACCTGGGGGCCGCCACAAACATGTCCCTCCTTGGTTAAAGTAACAGCCCCTTCACGGGCCTCCCAGCTTCTATACTCGCTTCCCTCCCATTCTCAGTCTGGCAGCCAGAATGTTTTCACAGGCAAGTCAGACCATGTCTTGGCTCTGCTCAGAACCATCCAGTGATTTTCCCACTTCACTCAGAGTATATGCAAAGTCCACAAACGGCCTGGGAGGCCCCATCCAACTTCGGGTATGCTAAAGCTGCCCGCCTCTTCTCCTACCGCCCCTCCCCGCCACCCCCTTCATTTCCGCGCTTGCTCCCCAACAGAAGCCAGCTTTCCCTAATCATCAGTGACAAGCTCCCTCTCCTACGGCTGTTTCTCAAATGGCTCCTGCTCAGTGAGTTCTTCCTGACCTCCAGATTTAAACTGAATCCTTCTGTGCAAGGCCCATCTTTCTTTCCTGCCTTATTTTTCCTTATCAACATTGCCACAGGATGTACTACATGCTTTTCTCATTGGCTTTACTGGCTGTTTCCCTGAATAGGATCTGAGCTCCGGGAGGGCGGAGATTTCGGTTTGCTTTGTTCCCTGCTCTTAACTAGTGTCTATACCATAGGCACCGTCATGACTATTTGCTGAATGAGTGAATCTTACCTCTCTTTTTCTAGGAAAAAGGCCCCTAAAAATCATGGACCTGGACTCAGATGTCACCAGCAACCACCACTATACTACTCTTCCTAGGAACTATCGTAGTGGCTCCAGAGACTAAGGTCTTTTAAGGATTGCTTAAATTTTCCTCACATATCACTCTGTGCCTCCATATATTCTCCCTCTACCTGTAGTTGTGCTGTGTTACCACATTAGCACATTTCACATTCTTGTATATTTTCTGTCCAGTTTATTTCTAACACCAGTGATAGATTTTATCATCAAACTTCACTTCTGTGGCTTACAGATTGAAACTTCTACTAGCCAGTGTTTAAGAATTAATTTTCCTCTATTAATGTCAATTTACTATACTGATTGATTTACTATAGTTGTCTTATATTTACAGAATGCTCGGATTACTACACTTCTAAAGGAATAATACCAAAATAATTTTTAGATGGATGATAACTTGATAATGTCTTTCTAAAAATGTGGTTTCCTGCTGTGAAGGCCTCTAACATGGTTTCTTCAACTTTGGGACAGCTTTGTATGCAATTTATACCATTAATATCCAGAGGTTGAATCTGTGTCAGGGTTTGCAGTGATCAGACAACCTACTATTATTGAATTTGATTGGAAAAAAAGGGTGACATTTTCTTGCATATTATTGGTATTACAGGCCTCTAACAGCAAAAACTAACATTTTTCTCAGAAGATCTGTTAAGGACTGAATGTGTCCCTCCTCGCCCCACAGACTTAACTGTTGAAGTCCTAACCCACAGTATGACTGTATTTGGAGATGGGGCCTTCAAGAAGTTAGTGAAAGTTAAGTGAGGTCGTTTTCAGGGGGGCCTTGACTGTGCAGGACTGGCATCTTTATAAGAGGAAAAGACACCAGGCATCAGTGTCCACAGAGGAGAGGCCGGGTGAGGGCACAGGGAGAAGGTGGGCCCTGCCAGCCCAGGAGAGGGGCCTCAGGGGAAGCCAAACCTGCCCACACCTTGATGTTGGACTTCTAGCTCCCAAGAGTGCGAGAAAATAAATCTGTTGCTTAAGCCACCCAATCTGTGGTATTCTGTTATGGCAGCATGAGCTGACTAATACAACCTTTTTCCAAAAATTGCAATTAGCTGTTGGATGAATCAAAGCTGGCAACCTTCTTACTTCCTGTCTCAGAAATAACCTTTGGGCATGTGAACAACTGTCCTTATGCAAGCCTGCCATAATCTCAGTCTCTCAACTTTCACAGGTAACTGCAGAAATGCTATCTACCTGTGGCGAATGTGGATGGGGGCAGGCAGAGATACAAAGGTGAGAGAGGATATTACGTGGTTTCAAGAGCTAAAATTCAGCTGTATATATAATCACTCCAAATTTAAAGGGACATGGGGCCATAAGTATACAGGAAAGCCCAATAACATTATAAATATGGAAATCTTAAAATATCAACTCTTTCAAATCTTGAATATCTCAAATCTATCCTGTAAAATGTATCAACCTGTCAAAAAGCATCACAACCGAAAGCTTGCAGTAGCTGAATTACCAATGTTAATGGCAGTTTCTTGCTTGTCCCCTGTAAGGATCCAGACTTTGATGTCTGCTTTCATTAGAGTTTCTATGGTTTCAGGCACTTGATCTTGTAATTTATCCTCAATGGCTGTAGCTCCAAGTAGTTGAAGATTCTGGGAAAAATGAGTGGCAAACATTTTAAGAAGGAAACTGGATTAGATTCTTCAATAATTGAAGCATGTATGCGTTTCAAAATCAGAGGCTAAATGGTAATTCATAGACTTCGGTGTAAATTCCAACTACCTCACTGAGCTTTCTGTTCAGGACACCTTTCATGCAGTACTTCTGGCATTACCTGTCTTACCTTACTCTTTTCTAGGGTAAGGAACTGATGGTAAAAACACAAATTGAAGGGGGAAATAAAAAAAAGGAACTGGTAGCTACTAAAAAAATAGCTAAAGAAAAACACAAACTCTGGAAGATCACCACAGTGAAGAGGCAATCTTGCTGACCTGTCTGAAAAAGAATAAGGATGCATATTGATAGTATTAAGTCATGATTTGGTGCAGTGTCAGGAAAGGTTATCCACACAACACGATCAGAAAAATAGAGGTCGAGAGCACCGGACAAAGTGACAGCATTCACCTCTGTAAGAAGGAACAGACCGAGGGACTTTCACACTGCCCCACACCTGCACAGCGACGGGCCAGAGTCCAGAAGGACTGCTTGCTCATTGGATGGTATCTTTCACTCAAGATCCAACACAAACATTATGGAAAAGCTGTTCTGTGGAAAACTGTTCTTGAATCTCACAAAGCCAAAAAATGGTTTCTACTCTTACCCTTTTAAATGGAGGGGAAAAGGAGAACAACTTCTTGGCTGTTAGGGAAACCTGGCTTGTCAAGTAGACACAGGTAATGGTTTTGGTCCTAAATACACAGGAATGCAGAGTGATGGACTAAGATTTAGCCCTTTCTTTCCCCCACATTGCCAGGCACTGTCACTAGTAAGGAACCCTTCCCAATGGGGCTCTGCAGACCTCAACCAACCTATCCTGGGTTAGGGTTTCCCTCCAACCTAACTGTTGGAAGGATCCACTTCTGCATTTGTCTTTCTTCTCAAGCTTTTTCTCCCTTCTTGGCTTCATTTTTTAAAAATATCATACAAGGTTAACATAGATAAAAGGGAAGTTTAAGTACTAAGGATAGTGTCTGGGTTGGTAGTAACAAAGAAAGCTTTCCATTTTCTTTTTCCTCTAACTTTATGTCCTGTTTACTTTTCATGAAAATGTAAGTCTAAAATTAGTTCCAAGTCTTGGTAGGCATGAAAAACAAAGTTAAGTGTATATACAAACATGTAAGAGTGAGTGTGTATGTAGTTTATGAATGTATTAGTTAGGAATGCTGTTGGCTAGAAAACAAAAATTTAACAATGTCTTAGGACTTAGTTTCATCTACATAAGCAGTATTGATGCAGGTAGTCCTGGGTATTAGATTGGTGGCTCAACCACATCTCTACTAATTCCCCAGATCTCTCTCAATGTCTCAAAATGTCTGTCACAGCTATAATTATAACAGCTACATTGAAGACAAGAATAAAGGGGTTATGCCACCTGTACTCATCTCTTGTTTGAAAAGCAAGTGTTTCTAAAAGGCCTCAGCAAATTTCCAAATACTGCCGACTGGCTGGGTTGTGTTATGTGGCCATCCCTAACTATTAGTATTTAGCTTTCCAGCTTCCACAATGGATGTGGCAACACAAAAGGAGAAGAGGAATGGATGCTAAATTAGCCAACCAACAGTTTTTGCCACAGTGCTTCAATTGAGAAGGGCATTCATAGGCGTTAGTGTTTGTACATGTGTGTTTACTTGTGCACATATATGTACTGATGCATACACACATTGCCCATCTTGCCTGGTGAAACTTGGCTTGTCCTGTTGGGCCAAACTCAAAGGTTACTGCTTCTTTGAAGCCTTCCTTTGCTTCTTAAAAGAAGTTTTCCCTCCTGTTGTGCTATAATAGAACCTTTACACATCTTATCATATTAAGGTGAGCTGTTTAACTGTATGAATCTGAATACTGACAGTCAGCATTCAATGTTTGCTGAATGAGTGAATAACCAAAAAAGAAAATTCAAAATCCAAATATTGTAAAGTATTGTTGCAATCTAGACCATTTTCTTTTCAATACATTCCAAATAACTTATTCAGCTATTAGATGTACTTGATGTATGACTTCTTAGTATATAATACATAAGGAGGGCAAATCTCCTTATTTAAGGAGAGAGTAGTATTTTATTATCTTTAATGAGAAGCAGATTTGAAACTTATCATAACCTGATGAGTAATTATCAACAAGTTCAAGAATGAAAAGAATGAGCAGTTCAGCATCAACTATGCCAGTATTACAATTGCTGTATTTCAATCTTTAGACAGCAATTCTACCAATTATTTCAGTTCCATTTAGGGTATTTGCAGCTAAATCATTTTGGCCCATATCCCAGGGAAGATCAGAATATAGCTGTATTCAAATATTAAATATTCTGCAGAGCACGTGATGAGATTTTTAAGTGATCATGGTGAAAGTTCAGTAATACAAGCTCTCAAAATTTTCTAAACTAAAAATTTTTTTTGTAATATGTTTCACAAAACCCTGGGTTACCTAGATAATGTGAGAGCCATGTGGTGAATGTTTTCAATGGAGAGATATAAACAAGTATCTTTGTATATTTTCTAGCTCTACTCTAAGGGGAGAAATGAGCTTAGCAAGTACACATGTATATGTTATCACGTACAAATCTAATAAAAATAAGATGACTGTGAAGGGGAGATCATGTTGAAACCTAATGTGAAGAAGGAAAGTGCTTGGCTTTGTACAGGTAAAAACATCTTTCAAGCCAGGCAAAAGTAATATAAAGGAACAAAGAGATAGGGCTAGCAATGTGTAGGCTGAGAAAAGTTACAAGTAGATTAATGTAGAGTGTGTTGGTGACTATGATAACAGGAATTTCTTTATATATATACGTGTGTGTGTGTGCGTGTATATATATATATATATATATATACACGCACACACACTTTTTTTTTATTGAAGTATCATTGATATACAATCTCATATTGGTGTCAGGTATACAACAGTGGTTCAACAGTTACCCATATTAAGTCCTCACCTCCAGTAGTATGGGTACTGTCTGTCAGTGTGGGAAGATGTTATACAATCATTGGCTATGTTCTCCATGCTGTACTACCATCCTTTGACCAACTTTTATTATGATTGAGAATTCTTATGCCCTTTCATCCCCCACCCCATCCATCCACCCACCCCATAGTACCAACCAGTCACTTCTCAGTGTCTATGAGTCTACTGCTCTCCTGTTCATTTTGTTTTGGATAACAGAAATTTCTAAAAAGGGTAATGAAAGATTTCTGAAAACTCAGCAAATCTGCAGTGGGTCTACTTTGATACCTATTAAGGAAAAAGTGCATTCCTAAGCCTGTTAATCTTCCTTTTACCCTAAGAGCTCCTCGAGTACAGCTCTTACTAATTTTAGTGGAAGGCTCTGCAGCCTCCTTTCCTTTGCCCTGGTGTCACTGATTGTGAGATTAGGATCTTGAGTGAAAAGCTATTCTGCCTCTGGAAATTAATACCTTTAGCTACATGACAATCAGAAAAAAATGTGAACTTTGTGTGCTTTTCCTGATCATAACACAAGAGTGTTTCGGCTGCAATCAGTTTCATCTCAAACATGTATTCCCTTACACAGATGGCCACTAATGGGCACTATGGGAATTACATATTCAGATAGTGTTGAAACATGATAAAATTCCCATGGCATTTATGGAATTAAAAAAAACAAACACTAATTTTACTTTCAAAATGTCACTATGCTAAAAGTTAAAAAGGTTCCAGGTTGATGACTCTTGGACATAATATAGATTTAGTTATCACCAAAAAGTAATGACATAATATTTATTCACCTGGTAAAGCCCTTAATAATCTTATTTTCTTCTTCAGATGTTCATAATGTATGCAGAATTTAAAAACAGGCATATAAATGTAAAATTTCTACCCTAGTGAAGACAGAAAGTTTCATGCAATGTATTTAAAAACTGTATGGTAAACTGTAATGTGACAGATTTAGAAACTGTGTTTTTCTTGGTACATGTCTATTTTGTTAAATAACAAACTCACAATGGCTTATTTCCATATTAGCAAGTATTATTCCTTATTTTGGATTTTTAATAAGTTTGTGCTCTGTTCCTAAATGAGAAAAAGTGTAATAATCAAACTCATGTCAACTTAAGCTTCACATTACAACACGGGCTATTTAGCAGAGTTTCTTCAAAGACAAATAAGAAATCATATCTATAAGCAAAGATTTTCCCACTGGAGTAAATATGGATAAATATTAGCAACATTTGATAACCTTTATTTCAATATAAGAAATAAGACTGTGACTGGAAGATGGAGAAATATTACCTTAAAGAGAGAAAATGTACCAGAGACTGCTAAGTGCTTAACACTTATTAATTCAGTTACCAACTTGGGGGAGGCTGAGTAAATTAGTGAAGGTTAAATAAGAGGTACAGCTGAGCTACGATGGTAAGAACAAAAACCCAAGAATCAATAAACACCCAAAGGCAGTGAATGGAAAATAAAACTGAGATTAAATGAAAGTTAGAATTTCATTCAAATCATCAGGTATTTAAGCATTTGTCTCTGTTCTTCAGTCTTTTTTTTTTTTTTTTGAGAG